CTCCCGATCTGATCCGGTTTCAGGTGTGGAACATGAACCCCGTGGTGGGTGTGGTGGGCGTCTTCAACCTGCAGGGCGCCAGCTGGGACCGCGTCCGCCGCAAGTTCCTGGTGCACGAGCGCTACCCTGCTGAGCTGGCGACGACGGTTGCGCCACTGGACGTCGAGCCGTTCAGGGCCGCGGCAGAGGAGGCGGCCGCAGAGGTGGCGCATCTGGCGTTTGCGTCGGACGGCGGGGAGGAGGCCGAGGGCGAGGGGCGGCGGCGGGACGGCGGCAACGGGGCCGGCGGCGGCGGCGGTGTTGAGGAGGGGGGCGGCGACGCGCGGCGGCCGCTGCTGCAGCAGCGGTCGGGCGGCGGCAACGGCGGCGGCGGCGCGGCGGACGCGGGGAGCGCTGCGTATGCGTGCTACCAGTACACCAGCCGCCGCCTGCGGCTGCTGCCGGCGGCGTCGTCCGCAGTGGCGGTCGGGCTGCCTGCGGCGGGGTCCGACATGCTGTGGTTCTCCCCCGTGCTGCGCTGCGGCGACGTGGCGCTGGCGCCGCTGGGGCTGGTGGATATGTACAACGGCGGCGGCGCGATCACCTCGGTAGAGCTCAAGAGCGGCGGCCCCGCGGCCGCTGCTGCTGCGGCGGCGCGGCGGCAGCCGCCGGGCGGCGGCAGCGAGGAGGTGGCGCGGCGGCAGGAGGCGGGGGGCAACGGCGCGGCGCCCGCCCTCGGCAGCGGCGGCGGGCCGGCGGTGGTGGCGAGCGTGGGCGTGCGGGGCTGCGGGCGGCTGCTGCTGTACTGCAGCGCGCGGCCAGGCCACGTGTGGGTCAATATGGCGCCACGGGACTTCACTTACGAGCCCTACTCGGGCCGCCTGGAGGTGGACGTGCCCCAGTCCTCGGAGGGCATGGCCGCTGAGCTGGAGGTCATGTTCTGAGGCGCGTCGTCGCGCACGCGTCGATGATCTGGCGCGATCCGGCACGATCTGGCCCCGCACGGTCTGATCTGGGGAGCGCAAGGCTCGCGCGGTGCGCTGCCAGTGATGGTTGTTGGCAAGCGTTGGTGAACATTCTCTCTGACTGCGGGGGCGCCCTCACGGCTGTGACCGTTCGCGGCCCGGGGCCCTGGGTCATAGGGGCGCCCCGCGGCGCGCCCCCGCCGCCCCCTCGACTGCGCTTGCACGCGGCTGGCCCTGTGCGCGCAGCTGGCCCCGCCCTTCCGGCCGCTGTGCTATCACAAACAGGACGTGCAGGCCAGGCGCTGGGCATTCGGCCTCTGCGCCCGCCAGCATGGCCGGCTGCCGCCGCGGGCCACGTGTGCTGCCCGTGTTTTGGGCGCGTTTGTTGGTGAGGCAGCCTGGGCGGCCTCGGCCCTGCCAACCGCACACACCGCATGCGCGGTGCACTCGACCCATCGGACAGTGGCATGCTGCGCCAGGGCTCATCTCAACCGCTGTGCCATGGGCCGCTGCGTCGAGCGCGCAGCTGATGATCTGGGACTTTTCGGGCCGCGCCCCTGGCGCGGCGCCGCGATTCGTTTTGATGGCATGCGTCCGTGCATTGCGTGGCGCATGCGACTCACCATCGCACCACGCCCCCAACCGCCTGGAGCGCAAGACTGGATTTGCGAGACCGTGCGCTCTCACATACACACACCACCAAGCCGCAGGCCGGGCCGACCGTCGCCCCGTGCCGGCGCGAGCGCCTTTTGCCCCATCGCCCAAAACTTCTTGCCCCGTGCCTTGCAAACCCAACTTGCGAAAACAATTCAAGGCCCTGCTGTCTAGAAAGGTGTTGATGGGCGGGGGTCACGGGGGTCCGGTCACACCCACCCTCCAGCGCCGCTGCCCCCGCACCCATGTTGCAGCTCGCAGTTTTGCAGCTGGCAGTGTTGGCCGATGCATGCCGCATGCCGCCCGGTGTTCCTAGTGCCCCACATCAGTTGCACCCCGCAACTGTTGCTGTAACTCATGTGCTGGGTTCGCTCGCCAACCTCTCATCGTTGGGCCTGGCCAGTCAGATTCAAGTGGGACAGCGGTGGCGTTACATGCGGCTTGCGCGAGAGCGCCGCAGACAGACAGCCGCCATGGTGCGGGCCTCCTCGCCCCTGCAGCGAGGTCCCCGGAGGCCGACCCGCCACGCGCGGCGGAAGCCGCGCCCCTGCATTGACGATTCAGCAATGCCCGCCTGCGACGCATTCAGAAGTGAGTGGTCCCAGGGGGTGAGCCGAAGGCAGCATGAGCGCCAAGTGATGCGCAGGGGCTGGCCGTAGCAGGTCCCTAGTGGGCGGGGGTAGGCTCGTGCAGTTGCCCCAAGGCTGCGCGCAGCACCACCACGGCCCTCAACGCAGCCAGCCCACACAACCTCTGCTCCCTGCAACCCCTGGCCACCACCCCGCAGCCCGCAGGCCGCCACAGACGGCTGCGACACTGCCCACCTGGCCTCGCCCCTAGCTTCCAGCCAGCTGCTGCATGCGCGCCTACTGCTGGTTGCTGTTGGGGCCCTTCTTCTTGCCCGGGCCGACCACTGCGGAGCGGCAACACGGGAGGGCAACGCAGCGGAATCTGGTGAGGTCCCTGATGTCCTTGCTGCTGGCTCCACCAACATCGCTGCTGCGCTTGGGCTGGGGCTGCTGTGCATCCGAGCCGTGCTGCAGTATGCACTGTTCTGGGAGGTGATGCTGCTTTCTGCGATCGGCCGCCGGCAATGATGCCACGACGACCACGCAGCCATACTGCCCACAACTGTTGCCTAGCACCACCAGCCGCCTTCAACGTTCGAGAAGTGCATCGATCGCTGCAGCATAAGCATGCGCCGCCAGCCGCAGCAGCGCGCTGGGGCGAAGTGATGCAGCAGCATCAGCGCGGCGCCGACGGGTTACCGCGCCGCCCTCTGACCACGCACCAACGTTCACGAAGCGGCGGTTGTACTTGAGGCGCTTGCAGGCGCGGCCAGTGGGCTTCTTCTTCTTGTCCTGCTTGGGGACCTTCGGCGTCTGGCCCCTCACCTTGCCGGCACGCGCCAGAGAGCCGTGAACCTTGCCTGCAGAGCAAAAGATACATATTTTAACCCAGACACACGCGCGGGAGCACCCGGCACCAAGCCCATTCCTGGCGGGCGAGCAACCAGCTGCCCCGTGCACGCACCCATGGCTGCTGTTTGACACTAAGGATGAAGGCTCCTGGTGAAAGGGCGACGCCGCATGCTGCAACGAGCCTTGTCCTCCCGAACGCGAACTCAAACGCCGCTGGGCGTGCAGAAAAGCGACGAAGCCAGCAGGCAAGGCATGCCCATGCACGCGTGTGCACTCTTCCATCAAGAGTACAATTTCAACTTGGGACGAGCAGCTCCTGAACCTGCCAGAGCGCATCGGCCAGTCAACACATCGGCACCAAGGATGAAGGCGTCGTTTGTAATGCACTGTAGAACAAGCTTATGCGTCCCTGCCCTGGAGGGATTTTGAGACATCAAAACAGGCACACCACGCATCGAGCTTCATACAGACTCGGACCAGGCCCGGTATTCACAAGACAGCTTGCGAGCTCCGGGCAGTTCCAGTATATATGTGGCCTGTCGTTTGCTGCAGCCTAGGCAATGTGACGCGCTCGAGACCATGTTGACACAAGATGTCATGCAGATGTATGTATGGGGTTGGGGGCAATTGTGACATTGTGTTGACCCACTCCAGCTCATATTTAGGGTGTGCCGCATACATGTACTTGTTTCCTTCAGAGTGCCTATTATGGTGTAGCAGGATTGGGTCCACCCTGCACTTGTCGGGGATGAGGCTATGCATGGCGATCATCAGAGATGCACGCTACGCTCAAGGCGCGGTGCAGCCTGATGGGGCTAAGCCTGCTGATGACGCTTTTCGGCACCTAGGCCTGCGTCCCGCAGCCAAGTGAGCAGCTGCGACCTTCTGCGCCGCTATTACCAGGGAGGACTCACTGCTGCCGGCAAGGACCACCAACCTCGGTCTCAGCGTGGGGGGCCCTAGTTCCATCTCGATTACATGATTTCTAGGGTGAGCCATCGCCCTGACGCTGTTGCGCTTGATTAGCGACGGCGACGCGGCAGCGCCGCGCCAAACAACCAGCACCAAATCAAGTGCACACCAACATTGAACGGGGCAAACGTCACGGCAAACATCACTGCAAATCAAGGCAATTGTGCAAGAGGGACTGGGCGTTGAAGCATACACATGGAGGCCTGCTGGAGGGTGATGGTGTACTGTGGCACAATGGATAACCCACACACATCAAATGACAGGAATCAGACCCGGTGATGACACTAAGCACCGCGGAGCCGCAAGCACGGGTGGATGCCTCGAGGTGGGCGGCGTTTGCCAGCCACCATGCTGCAAGCCAGCCAGGCTGCGCAGAGCCGACAGCAGCATCGATTGTTCACATGCCGGACGGGCTGGAGACTGTCAGGCTGCCCACGCGCCCGCCTGGAACAAACTTGGCATCCCAAGCTGGTCCCTCCACATCAGCCGGTCCTCTGAATCAGCTGTCCTCATCCGCCACATCCATGTCGAGGGTGTCACCTCCGCCCCCGCCAACCGCCATCAGGGGGTCCACGTCGTCGTCGTCCTCGTCATCCCCCCCGGCGCCCTGGCTGGCGATGACGGCGCCGGCCTCTATGTCGTACGGCCGCAGCTCCCCCCAGCTGGGGCCGACCTTCACGTTGACCGGCAGCGCCACGCGCAGGCCCCACTCCCGCGCGGCGCCCTCCATGATGCGGCGGATGGCGCGGGCCGCGGGCTGCAGGAGGGGCGCCTCCACCTCAAACACGAGCTCGTCGTGGATCTGGTGCGGGGGTGGGGGGAGGGGGCATGGTTGTGTGTAGGACGTGACGGGACGGGGAAACAAGGGGGCAACGAGGGGAAAATGGTGCTACAGACGTCGCGACTGCCTGCTTTGCGGCGGTGCTGCCGGTGCGTTGCTGCTGCGCGTCGGCAGGTGCAGCGCACGCGGGTCGCCTTGTGGGCTAGCCCCAGAGCGGCACCAGGCCCCCCACCTGCAGCACCATGTGGGCTGCCCCGGGGCCCAGCTCCCGCGGCAGCTCCTGCGCCAGCTGGATCATCACGCCCTTCACCACATCCGCTGCAGAGCCCTGGGGTGGGGGATGGGGTTGACGCGGGCATGGAAGCGATAAGGAGGTAATGATTTGGGATTTTGCTTGTGCTCGCATGTGTGTGTGGGTGTGATTGTATGTTTGTGTGTGTGTGTGTGTGTGTGTGTGTGTGTGTGTGTGTGTG